TCAGAGATTCTCAGATGGAAATCAAAATGGAATATAGTAGAGACTACAGAGGCAGCAACCTCTCCTCTATTCTTGAAATAATTGTGCCATTTTTCTGGTAATTCTAGCTCTTACTAGAGTAGCTTGTGACTCTATAGCCATTGTGGCAGATGGTTTACCAGTTCAGTTATGAAACTGTACAGTCTTTGAGTTTTTGGTCTGATGCATATGGGGTCTGCACATTACCAACTAAAGGCAATGCAGGGTCACCAAAAGAGTAATTTTTCCATGAAAGAAGGGACAATTTTGAGAACTTCTAAGACTTGGATGGTTCAGCCATTTGATGTTAAGTAATGTTAATGGAGCCGGGAGTAGTAGGCCTACTTTTCAAGGCTGCTGTCACTCTGCTTAGTTACAGCAGGTGGTCAGTGTGACTGTCTCTTCCATAACTGCACTTTTTCAAATAAGTTCCATCAGAAATTGATTATCATTTAATCTGGAGCAGTTCAGTTCTCCATATACAGTCTCTTCTCCCTGCTTATTGCAAAGGAGTTGGTAAAAGTTGACTGTTTTCTTGTATTTGGCATAGCTGGAGTTTCTATACATGTAGATAGAAGTGAACCATAACCTGCAACATTGTTCCAATCTCTTCCTTCTGAATCTCTCCCTTTGCAATCCTTCCCACTTTGTATAGGAGCCATCCATGTTTCCCTCATTTTCTAAAGAAGTGTCACACAAGTGTACAATAGGTTCTCCAGGCAGCATTCTCCCCTTTAATTCTCTCTTGCTGAATTTCCTTTTCAAAGCTGACCTTGTCAAGTAGTTCAAGTCAAGTAGTATTTTTTATCTGATAGAATATGACCTCTGAATTCTAAATATCTGTATTTTAAAGACCTCTCTGTTCCTCCTGCCCATGGATATTTTAATTGGAGTTTTGAAAAGACACATACAAAGCTGATACCTTTTCCATATCAACAATACCCAACTAAAATTAACTATTTCTGTATGCTTGCACACTGCAGCTGCAAAGATTGAGACAAGCACAGGGGCAGGAAAGAACCTTACAGCTGCTAAAGCTCTTTCATTCCATTAGAAATGCAGAAGAAAAAATCAGTGTTTTCTGAAAGGAGAAATCATAAATTTGACTTCATATTATAATGTCTGTGTACATACATTTATTCATATATAAATATTCTTGAACTTGTTGTGCACAAGCTTTTGGACCTTGACAATGGAACAAGGTGTTTTGTCTATCCTGATAGAAATGTCAGTCATACGCACAAAGGCATCAGGTCATGGCATCTGTAAAGAGATGCTTCTGTTGGTTGTGCTGCCTGTTTTTGTTGTTAATCTGTCAGGCTTAGAATTGATTAATCACTGATCTTCAGGTCAGTGTTTTTGTGACAATTCTGGTAGTTTTTGTTTATTAAGTTGCAAATTTAATTGCCCATTTGATGTTCTTTCTTCAAAAGATAAGATTTGTTATAGAATTTTTGTGTCTAAAAGGGTTTTTCCTTTTTTTTTCTTTTTCCCCAAAGATAATTATCTGGCTGCTTTTAAATCGGGAGATAGAACTGAGCTTAGACAGAAGTTCTCAGGAAAGGTCACCTTGGACTGGCATTTGCTGTGTCCCCTCTGTTAGGAATGGACATGTTCCTGATAATCTCATGAACAAATTTTCCCTGCATTCCCTGTGCCAGGAAGGAGAGAGACAACTCTACTTCATGAAAATGTGCTGGTTCCCAACCTTCCTTCTCTTAACATCAGTGACAACGGTTTTGACTATAAGTGATAGCTAATCTAATGATGGAAAAGTGCTGTAGTGAACTCCTCCTTATGGATCTAAAATGTTGCTGGTCAGACTGGAGTTCTAAATGCCAGCCTGCTCTTTCATAGCCAGGATCTCTATTAACTTAGGGTGCTGCGACCTTTAAACTATTCTAAATCTGTGGAATGTTAGGCAACTTGACAACCGTTTTAGAGCAGTTGCAGGTTAAGGCTTAATGCTGCTTCTTACCTGCACAACTGTGACTTGCCACTAGAAGGCCTGTTGAGCAGAAGTGCGGCTAGGAACCAGGACTCTTCCTCCTCTGAAAAAAAGAACTCTAGACATTCAGCTCAGCAAGAGCCTGGAGCCTGGGGAAATGTGCCTCAATGGGTTCCATGCTTTGCCATCTGGTGGTTGCATTCTCAGCATGAAGGTGCCAGCAGTCAACTGTGGCAACAGCATGGACCACTCTTTAAGTTTATCGAGCTAAAGCTGTTGTCAATTGTTTTGGTGGTCCCAGGGCTCTTTGTTCTATTCTGTCTTATATCCAGGTACCAACCTTCTGGGGGCTGCAAATGGACTTCCTTCTGAAGCTTGGTCCATGAGCAGATAAACTCCAGACACTGGTGAAGTTGTCATCATGATCTTCAATCTCCATTTTCTGTGATCTTTTTAGTGCTAAAAAAAGTTTGGGAGTTAGGCTGTACATGTGTTCCTCCCTCCTGGCTACCCGGGGGAGTTCTCCAGCCAAGGGCTGCTCCTTGGGTCCCCCCACTTCTAAGGAAGCCCCTAGGGAAAGGGGCAGGCTGTCATTGGGCAGCAGCAGCTGTCATGGAAAGCCACTCACCCTGGAGAGCTGGAAGAAGTGAAAACTGCTCTCCTTGTCCCCTCCTATCAATTGGGATCACCCTCTGAGTTACCCAGAGGGGTGCATGGAGTAAGGAGCAGTCTCCCATAGCTGGAATCCTTCTGGGGTTCCAGCTGCACAGGCTGGGGAGGATTCTCCTACAGCTAGAACTGTTCCAGGGCTCCAAGATGGTTCCCACCACAGGAGCATCCCAAAACAGGTTGGGCGTGGGGGTCCTCCTGCAGTGAAAACAATCTCAAAGCCCTGTAATGGTTTTTAGTGCAAATGCTTCTTGCTCTTTGCATCCTTCCAGGTCACCCCAGAAGAGTGTAAAGGGTGGGAGAGATGTTCCAGCCCCAGGAAAATGTCCTTCTATCCATCCTTCTAATGAGCTGATTGGTGGGGGAGGGCATTCACCAGTGGTAGAAATTGTTCTGGAGTTCTGGGAGGGGTCTACTTGCCGGAGAATGCCCCACATTTCATGCACCTTCTGGGTCACCCAGGAGGGGTGTATGGGGTGAGAGGCAGTGGAGCTAGACTGTTCCCAGCTGTGGGAGATGGCTCCCACCCATGCACAGCCTAGTTCCCTGGTCTGGATTGTGGCAGAAGGTAGATGCCTGGAGCTTGAACCTTCCCAGGACAGTTCCAGCTTGGGGGAATGCCCTCCTACCCCATCCTTGTGTGGTTCTGGGAGGACCTGAGCTTGTGCAGTGGCTGGGGGCGTAGGCAGATTGGTAGGATCTCCACAAAGTACCTTCACAGCTTGCCCATGAATAGGCCATCAAGGAGCCAGTACTCTTTCCTCCCTTTCATTTGGAGGGCGGAGAGCAGAAGACTGTCGTAAACTAGGTATCCTCAATACCCAAGAGATATGTACAGCCATTCAAGTTGGTGTGGGAAGGGAGAGATTGACATTGCTTGAAGAGAGAGCTCTTCTTGTGGAGGGGCCGGTTCTCTTCCACAAGAAACTCCTTGAATGGTTGTACATTCTCTTTTTGTACAGGAGAGGTTTCTCTTGGCACAGATGTAACTCCTGTATATGACTTTAGATATCATGTGCCCAAGAATAAATGGGGAAGGAATTCTAGCAGAGCTGTCAATATGTTGGGTTGTTGGAGGAGTCTCTGCTACTTGTGCTGAGTCACCAGATTAACCTTGCTGGCTGTAGTTGAGCTCTTGACAAATAGTGTGTTTAATCCATCAAAGATTAGGAATATTGTTTTCTTTTCAGAGTCTCTCATAGTTGATTAGGAGCTAAGCTTTCATTTCACAGTTTTTTCTGCTACTTCTCTATAGCAATTTTCAGACTTCTTTGTATGTCTGAGAGTCTTCTGTTGTCTTCTGGTTGCAGGTAGGAGGTCTGCCTGCTCTTTCAGAGAGGAAGGAATGCATCTTCTCCTAGCAGTATAGCAAACCTTGCTTTTTGGAGCCCTCTTTAGTAGCTTTTTTTTGAGGGAGGATGATGGTAAATCTAGATGTGTTTAGAATTTCATATGTCTGCAGTCAGGAAAACCATGTTATCTGACTGAGGTGAAGATCTGTTGTATTGTTTAGTTGCTGGATGCCTGTAGTTTTGGGGTCATCTACATTGCTGTATAGTGTCCGCTGACTTCATGACAGATGGAGAGATCCAAAAAAAACCATCATCAAGTTACAATCTAATAAATCGGGTTTTTTTCCCCTAGCCTTGAGTATAAAGGACTTGTTGCAGTTCTCTCACATGGGATATGCTGAACTGATAGGGTCTGACTTTCTTGAAGCACCCCTGAGTTCAAAGCTTTTCTGTCACAAACACCCATGCATTTGGTGGTGAGACTTCCAGCATGTCAAGGGTTAATTTGCGTAGGTCACTCTATCATGGAGTTTAGTTTTTTTTATTTTTGCAAAACATCTCTCATGGATGCTGTTCTGTTTCTGAGAGGTTTGTTTCTCCCTGTGTGCTTGGATTTACTTGTTTATACTTATTCCTGTTGTGTTTTGTTCTAGTTAAGTATGTGACTTCAGAACGAGATTTTGATGTGATTGGTAGCCTCCTCCAATATATCCTCCAAAGCACTCTGATGTAGGCCAGTTACTCTTTAAATGAACAAAAATAAGACCAGAGTCGACTATTACTTCCTTCTGGCTGAGCTGACCTCAAACCATAGCTGCAAACCTGTCCTCATAAACTCTTCTTTAATCTAGATCCATGGCTTTCCAAATTTCATTCCTGTGTCATAAGAACCCCTCACCCCAGACCCGTCTCTGTAATTCTGTTTATTTTTACCCTGTGTGAAGGGCAAAAAGTATCTTATTTTCTTTCTCCCACCTTTTAACACTAATTTACTTGCATCTTACTCTCTCGTTGCTGGTTGGCCTCTGTTGCTTTATTACTGCTCCTCCCACTGAATGATTCTATCCAATCAGTTGGCAGGCAGAGCTCCGCACCTGCTTCAGCCACCAAGAGTGCTGCCGGCCTGGCTGAGCAAGGTACGTGGCATGAGTTGTCCTGTCTCCTGAGTGCCTGAACCCAGCCCACCCACCCACTCACTGCCAGTAGAAACTAGCATGCCAATGTTTGCACACCCAGTAAGACCTCATCCATGCTTGCTGGCTGAGAAATTGGCATGCACAAAATTTCATCTAACCTGGAACCATAACCATGGTGAACTTACTGAATTACTAACCAGAACTGCATGCTGGACACACATAGGGTCCTGCAGTGAACCAGCACATGAGATTTGAGAGGGGACAGCTGGATTTTTATGAAGTTAGTGCCTGAAACCTTGGTGAATGGGAGTAACCAGATTAGTTTAAACAATCCAAATATAACACCTTTAAATGCTCTCTTGGAAAGCTCAAAGGAGCTTTGTAGTGTGTTCTGTCCAGAACCCCCTTGTACTGTGATGAAACGCATAGATCAGTGTTACCCTTCAGTGGCTGGTTGTTCTGAACTAATCCGTTACTACGTTCTGTGATGACTTGGGACAGGTTTTCCCTCCATTTCTGTTTTTTCATCTGATACGAATTCAGACTTTGGAGGGACCTGGTCACTGTTCCTAGTACAGCAGGAGGTGTCAGGGATATGGCCTGTAGGTCATGTCTGGACCATGGAGCCATGTCATTTGGCTAGTGAGGCCAGCAACTTGATGGCACAAGAAACAACAACCACAAGTCAGAAATTTTTGGTGAGATGAGTCAGCTGCCAGTGCTGTAGGACCTGTGGCAATTAATGTGGCCAGCAAAGAGAAGGTGTTTCATTTGCTTTCCTGTCAGGCATTCAGTAATCTCCCTGTATTCCCCCAAACGAGAAGTTTAAGCAATCCATTTAAAAAACAAAAACAATCACACATCCCTTTCAGTGAAGCAATTCAAAAACATACACACCAAACGACTGTTCTCGAGAGAAGAGAGCAAGAGGAACTTTGAGTAGGGTAGTCAGGGAAACAGTCCACAACTTGCTTGGTGGTAGTATTTTAGTCCCATATAAAAACTCCCCTTTCATTGCCTCTGGCATATCTGGAGTGAACTCGCCAGCAATAAATAGTGGACAGTTTTAGGGATTTTTGACTTGGCCAGGTTTGTTAGAGGGGCTAGTTTAAATTTTCTTCAAAGGCTGAAAACTAGATATGCCTCAGGGTTGGGAGTGGAGAAGGAGGAAAAGAGCATTTGTACTTGTCAGGAAGAACATCTTGTTAACTCAGAAATGGAAGAGCACTTTAAGCTACAAGCATAGTGCACGGATGCCCTTGTATTGCTACAGCATAAATTCACATAACGAAAGGGTTTTGTTATTTTCTTAATCATAAGAATAGTTAGGATAGTCATGAAAATGGATATACTGTCCATATCCTGTGCCTGGTAAACTGTAGAACAAAAATGCAAGACCATTCTCTAAATCTCAATGGGCATCCCTTTTTACAGTCCCTGGATTTTTCCTACTCTGTCTCCTCTTTACAGATTTGAATGTTCGGTGGTGTTGTCTCTGGAGTTTTTAAATACACTTCTCATTACAGCCAGTTTTGTCTATGTGTTGCTAGCTGTAGAAATCCTACCCACTTCCTCTTTAATTTGTTTGGTAATGTGTACAGATTGACCAGTGAGTAGGTCTGCATCTGTCCTTCCCATCATTTAATATATTTGCCACATTTTTGGTGTTTGAATGCATTTCTTAGGCTGTCCCAGTGTCCTTACAAATCTTATTATGGGGTCTGAGCTCAGTGCGCAGTGCATTGAATTTCTTTCTGCAGTGCTGGGCCACCCACTAGTAGGGCTGTGCGAAGCTTTGGTCACTTGGCGGCTGAATCTCTGAATCCAAATCGAATCAGGAGACCCATAATCTCTCCAGATTGTATCAGAAGCCTCTGATTTTGATTCGGATTGATTCGACAATTTGACCATAGACACAGCTTTTATATATTTGGGGTTTTTTTCTACGTACCCCAGGGTAGCAGGCGCAGCTCATAAACACTGAGTTGGCAGGGCAGAGTGGACCACTTCCAGGTCCACCACCAAGCACATGGGGGGGCCCCCCTCCACGCTCCCATGGGACACTCCATCTGCCTCACCATCTCAGTGTTCATGAGCCACACCTGGTACCTCAAAGTATGTAGAAAAAACACATAAAGCTGGGTCTATGGCTGAATCACTGATTCTCCGAATCAGAATCGAATCTTCAGATTTGGCCTAATAGAATCAGGACAGTGATCCAAATCAGCTAATCAAATCACTGCCCCCCGAATCAGGCCAAATTCAAATTGAATACTGCCCACTTCACACAATGTTCCCTACTAGTTGGATTGTTGGTGCAGCACTGAGATTTCTGTGGGTACCTTGGGCAGGAGGGGGGAGGCTTTGTCTTGGAACTCTGGCTGGCATTACAGGGTGCAGGGTCAGGGGGGAGGCTGAATTGATAGTACTAGTGTAACTTTTGCAGGGCATTTTACCTGTGTCTTCAGTGCGAAGGTAAATGTTAACTTTCGTGGGAAGCTAGGAAGAGTTTGAAGTATCATCTGACTTCCCAGCGTGTGCTGAGGCCCCCGGACATGAGGCAGCAGCATAGCCCTGCTCCAATTTTGTATTAATCTTTATTGCTTGCTTATTTGTGACATTTGGGGAAATTGCAGAATCTGTGATTCTAGTGACATTTGCTTCCTCCAAGATGTAGTGGCTTGTGTTTTTAAAGCAGCAAACATTTCCTAATCAGAAAGCAACTACCTCAACAAATGCTTTGTGAGTTAGCTTGAAACATGTAGAATCCCTCTGAGCTCCACATTTGCCTTCAGACTTGTGCTGTTTTCACTCCACGGAATGGAATTGCCCCCTGCTCCCACACTGAAAGCGTACTCAGTGCTCAGGTGGGGAAGGATATTTCTCAGATTCTCTCCTGTGCTGGTTTAGGGTAAATGTATACTCAGCAGGAAAACCACTGCCAGGCAGCTGGTTGTCTGAGTCTGACATTAAACCCTTTAGCTGCAAACCTGTCCTCATAAACATTGGTTTTCATAGATTAATTTATCTGTGCTGTGGAACTGTGTTTTGGCACAACCGCTTTGACATACTATGCAAAGCGTGTCTATGCACTGCTTAAAACTGTCATTGTTCTAGTGCCTTCTGAATTCCTGAAGCACTGCCCCATTATGCCCCTATGACCTTCTGAGAACAGGAATTGCAAGGAAAATTCCAGTCACAAGGTGCTGTGCTGGGGTGGAATTAGGAGAACCAGCTCAGTATTAACAAGTAACATGCTTGTGGTGCTTTTTTTCATCTTGGAAAACAGCTGTTGTCTACACTGAGCTAAAAGACCTCAGCCCAGGTGTTAGTCCACCACCACAACTGATGTTCTAGGTTGTCTACCCATGTGTGGGGAAGGGAGACAGTATGTATGGACTTAGTTACATAGGTATTGCATAGGTATTGCCCAGGCTGCATATTACAAAAACAGATGCATTAATGACTTGCATTTAGGCACCTAGGTCTGCTGAGATACCAGATAGATGGAGAATAATCTGATCTGGCTCCTAGTGCCCATTAGTGTTAATGGAACTAAACATTTTTCAGCAACTGCTCAGAAAAAGCAGGTGCCTCAAGTGCACTTCTTGCAAAAGGAATGGCAAAAGTTGGCCACAGTGTACATGAGGACAAACTGACATATACATAGAGGCTGGAGGCAGGCCACCTATTATTGACAGCTATAATCACCATGTCTTCCCTATAATAAATCAAATTGCCCCAATATGCATACTAACATGCATACATATGCACCCTGTGGTCAAACACCTACGTGCTTTTGCTAAGTGTTACACATGCACGTGTGTGTTTCATTCTCTCTCATGTGCGCTGTTACTTGCCTCTCCAGGTATATATGAATCTGTTTCAGTTGTAGCACTACTTGTTTAGACCAAGCATGCTAGAGCATCTGTATCCTTCAGTGAGGAAATTCTGCCACCTTGGTTATCTTTTTTTTACAGCCTCCCATAACAGCTGGCAGCATTGCCTTCCCTCTTCCCCACCAAACTCCTCAGTCCCATCTACCCCTTGCTGCTATGCCAGATGTTCCCCAAGCTAATTTTGGACTCTGGCAGTGATTACGAAGGCTCTGCGTTATCAGTCCCCCTTTTCATAAATAAAGTCTGTTATGTAAATGGATGTACTTGAGAGCAAATCTGTCAGACTACAAGGATCTGACAGAATCCTTCAGCTTTCTCTCTGTAACCCCTGCCACATCTGGACAAAGCTGGTATGTGAGTAGAGTTACTGAAGGAAAACCACGTCAGGAGCTCTGTAGCCCTATTGGAGACTGGATTTCCGAGTTGTGGAGAGTGGGAGAGTTGCTGGCTGAAAATGGAGCATTTTTTTAGAAAATATAGGCAGTCTTGATGGCAGTAACAGCACAAGAATTGAAGACAGACCCAGCCTGGACTTTAGCACTCTTGTTGTTAGAAAGCAACGTTAGTAGGGGGCCTTCCCCTCAAATTCTCTTATGATTTTGAGTAGAGGGGAGGGGGAGGGACAGAGATCTGAAAACTAACCCCTGACCTGCTTTTCCTGTTTCTCTTGGCAGCTGCCAAAAGTCTATTGAACAAGAAGTCAGATGGAGTAAAGGTAAGTTCCAGCTTTTCTAAATCACCTCTTTCTGCCTATTTACAAGCAGGCAACTTGTCTCTTTAGTGCTTCCCCTTCCCTCCCCCTACCCCATGAAGCCACAGAAATATAACTTCTCTCTGAAGAGCCACTTGTTCTGCAGCCACGAGATCAGATTCCCACCAACAAGGCGCTTCAGAAGTATTTCCTTTTCACTTCTTTGGTACTGGCTGTCACTAGAGGCAGGCAGCTCCATTTATAGACCACAGATTGCCTCTGATGTGGCACATACATGCCTCTGACCGGCCTCGTGATGATCCATTCAGTGTACTTGGATGAAGCAGCCCAGCAGAGCCTATGGAAATCTCCCTGCCTTGCCCTGTTGACAGGGGCTTGGGGTGACAGGGAGGGTGAGTGCTAGCCATTGTATATCTATGAGAAGTTGCTGTTAAGGCAGAAAAAATCATTAGTCTGAGTGACAACGTTCCAAGTACAGTATTCCCCACCCACCCTCTCATTCTAAAAACTCCTATGCTTTGAAGGTGGGAGGGGAGATGGAATTATCTTTCCCTAGTTTACTATATGTACTAGGGAACTATGTACTGTCAGTCTTCAGGGTCAGAAAGGAGCCATACCAAAGGGTATATGATAACTAATGATGGCTACTTGTACGTGGTAACTGGCTGTGTAGAGCAGGGATGGGTAGAGCATTTGGGTGGTCTTTTAGAAATTCCCATCTTATTGACTGTGACACTCCTCTTTTCTGGAAGAGTTTGGTGGGGGTTGTTTCTCTGGTTCTCTATGCATGCACCTTCAGCCAACACCAAGCCTTTCTATCCTCAAGTCTCTCCATGTTTTACCTTGTGACAGTCTTTATGCTCTGATTGCTGGAGGTTGTGACATACACATTGAGGGAACCATCATCCTATTATCTCCTACTCTCTGAGCTTATTGTGCAAGTAGTGAGGCTTTGGTTCTGGAAGGTGGTTTGGGAGAGTTTGTGGCTATGCATTTACCTCTGTTTCTGTAGTATAGGGGTGTTTAGACTTACCTGGCCCATGGGCCGGATGAGGGTCTCTAGGTTGATTTGCAGGCCAGACTGGGACCAACCACCTGTGCAGCACCTGCAGCACTGCAGACAGCCTATGCACCACACAGCACATGCCAGCCTCAGGCTTGCTGTGCTGCATGGATGACGTGGGGTCAGGACGAGGCATGTTCTGCCCACGGTGTATGGGCTGACCCAGTCCTGCATGTAGCACAGGGTTGACATGGTATTGCACTGCATGTGATGAAGGCAGCATGCAGGACCAGTCCAGCAAGTTATCATGGCTTGATCCAGACTGGCCCTGGAGCCAGCTCTCAGGGCATCCAGCACAAGTCCTAGACCAGCCTCCTGCATTGTATGCAAGGTGTATGTCATGGCTTTTGGAGCTGCACACTCTCCCTCTTCACAATGTCCATGACTTCAGCAGGTCTTCCCTTCAGCTAGCTGCAGGCTTTTGGCCTTTCCATTAGCACTCTCCAGTAGGGTGCAGTTGCCACACTTCATTAGCTGCACATAACCTATGTCCCCTTTTCAGACCACCATCATCTTGGGGCTCCTTGGGTCACATCAGGGCTGTGGCATAGGCTGACCAGCAGTGGGTGCCATCCCATTTACAGTCCCACTTAAAAGTAACCATCCTTACACCCACCAACCCCCCAAATTTAATCCAACTGCTACACTGACTACATCTCTGTAAGAGGAGCATGGTTGTCAGTGGCATGGAAAGTGTGACCCATGAGGCTGGCTGCTGCTACTTGTTGGTGAAGTGTTGTAACTTTAGTCGCACTAACTTGGTCATCTTAGCCAGTTTCAACAACTGATCTGAGCTGGTGACTGGGACTGGTCAAAAGAATCAAGGTTTGTATTCTAGTAAGGGATTCCTCTTTTTCCCCACTGTAGTAAGGATCAGCACAGAAGGTGTAGCTGTACACAAAACCAAAGAGAATTGGGCTGAACGAAAGTAAAGTTTCAGTATTTGGTATGGTGAGGTTAAGGGTGAGACCTCACCTCCAGGGCTAGTTCTGTATAACAAAGGGAAGGTTCCAAGTGTCTTTTGCTTTACATATTTTGATAATTTTGTGGTTTGCTACAGTAACTAACAAGGGAGCACCTCATGTGAAAGAAAGCAGTGAAAACCTCAAAGAACTTTTGTATATGCCAGTCCTTGAAATCAGCAGGGCTCAAACCACGTGCCTTCTGTGAACAAAAGGACCTAAAGATCATGTAGAAAGTTTGGTTATACAAACATTACTTTGTCATGTTGTTTATGGATCGTTGGATAAAACAAAATAAAAAGACCAAAGTCCAGCTTGACTGCACAGCTAGTGATAATTGCTTCAGGTAAGTATCTTGGGAAGCAGGTTTTAGGTTTGTTAACACTAAATAACTTTTAGCATTATGGAGCATGCATTTCCAACCTTAACTGCAGGAGACATGTTCCATTTTGTTGCTTTGTGGTGTTTTGGAACCTTGATCGCTGGGAATGCTGTGAGCATGTAAAAAGTGAGTCCCTGCCTCATAAGTTTACAATTTAAATAGGTGATTGGTGGAAAAGGAAATGGAGACCCAGGTAAACTGACTTGCTTAGAACTGTACAGCAGGCAGGGACAAAAGTGGAAACGGAACCCAGTCTTCAGTGCCCCGGTTTACTTTATTGTCCACTGGATCAAGCTGCCTTTCATGAGTGACTTGATGCCCACATCAGTGCCATGAAGAATGGCTTTTTTTCCACCTCCCTTGAAACCCTAAAATAGTCACTGAAATAATGACACCTTGTGTAAGGTTAACTTCTATAGTGGACTTAATGTGTAAGAGTGTTCTTTTCAGTACTGTGCTTTTGTGAGAACTCCATGGAAATGGTTGCAATAGAAACTGTTTGAGCCCAAGTTGCTTCCCTATAATAGAAACTACTCTTGTTAACCTGATTAGTGTTACTGTTTATTTCTTATAAAATCTTTCAGCTTGTGTTGCCTTTTCTGGTATTGCTCGGAATGATTTATACCTGACATCTTTAGTGTTACTTCTGTTGTGACATAGGGGTGATGATTCATAAGGATATTTTCTGTGTGCTGCCCACTTCTGTTTGTTGTTACCCAAGGCAAAATTTCTCTTCAGATTCCAGTGCAGATAATTTACTCTCCTTGTTATGAGATTAATACCTAAATTCTAAACTAAATAGAGAAAGCAGAACTTTAGCGAGATGGTATCCTTAGGGATGTGAGAATAAACTTGCCTGCATTGCTTTGGGGGGAAATGTTATTGTTTTCACCATAGTAGTTCCAGAAATTGTGAAAACCTTTGATATAATGAATGATCAGTGGCAGCTAACTTCCTCACTGATAGAGAAAATGTTTACAGGGTAGGAGACAAGTTGTTTTTTGGTATTTTTTTTTTTTTTAATCAGGCAGGGTAAGTGGCCCTTCACCTGAAATAATTGCCCACCCCTGTTATAAAGTGATGGGTCTGTATGGTAATGCTATACCTATTAGCTAGAGCAGCAAACGTTTTTGGTATGTCAGAAGTAAACCTTCCTAGCCTTTTAAATTCACCAACTTCGTCTCTCCCTTAGAACCTCTCCCTGTTGCTACTTTTCCACCTTTTAAAGGTTATGCTGTTTGTTCTCATATTCAGGACCCTTCACAGGTCTTCCCTTCTCTGCCATAACCAATTTTGTCTCTTATCCACATTTGCTGTCCCTTGCACCATCCAGTCCATCAGAGACTTTTAGCTGTAAGTGTCCACACTCTGCTGCTTCCATATATCCTGTCCTGAACTGGTCTTGAGTTCAGATCTCTTCTTGATGCATGCCCTTTCCACAAGACCTGTTAAGAAATTTGTAGAAGATTATGTCAGTACAGTGTAAGGTTTGAGCTTTTAAAATATCTTTGTGTGTACCCTGAGCATTTTTTCTGGATGTTTTACGTAGCTCCCACTATCGCTGTCTGTCTCTTTTCTCTGCCTGGTCTGTTTCTTTCAAGATCTTTAAGATCTTTGGGGGTAGAAAATTTCTTGCATTGCACATAATTCAAAGGAACTATGTGATCTAAGTGGACTCTGAGGTTAAGCTGAATAATTCTGGTGGGATACTTTTTAGCATGTCTTAATATACAGTATTTGATAAGAATAGTTTTTGCTGTTGCTGTCAAGAATAGTTTGTTTGTTTCTTTTTCTTTTTTTTTGGCTTAGAAACATTTTTCCAGTATTTGTAAATGCAGCCTTTGTTTGAAATTAAGCTCAAGGAAACATTCTTGGCTATAAAGCAGTTAATCTATCAATTTTTATATTATCCATTATTATATGAGGTTTTCCTTGAGTAACTGTCCTAGTTACTTTTTGAAAAGTTGTTCTAATAGTTTTATCTAGGTGAGTTTTAAGGGTGACAAACTCATCTGGCCCTCTGGATCAGACCTACTAACAATTTCCCCCTCTCCCCGCTCAGGTTGGGCCAGGACACTTACCTAAGTGAGTGCCGTAGGTCGTGCAGTCTGGGACCTAACCCCAGGGAATGTGCATCCTGGCCTCTGCATGTGGGGCTGATCCAGTACAGCATGGGGGTCAATGAGGTAGCACTGGGGGCCAGATTGTGGGGCTCCATGGATCATATCTGGCCCACGAACTGCATGTTTGATACCCCTGGGTTACATGGTCGAGATAGTTAATTACAGCATTTGAGGTAGGTTGTAGACTTCCTATTTGACTACTGCAAAGATCCAGTGCTATTTAAGGAAGGGTTATTTGGCTTTTTCAGGAGAATTGATCCTTAATGGTCTCCAGGGAAGTTGAATTTATCTACAGTTCCTATCTGTGTGTGCTGAAGACTGTTGCAAGGAGCAGGAGAAATGCCTGTAAACAGAATGCATATCCTCTTGGTCTGCTGGAAGTGCTCTTTCACACTTGGACAATTTTTTGTGGCTGCATTAGGCTGGAATTGTTTCCATGGATGTCAGGTGCTATTATCAGTTGGTTTTGTGGTGTTAAGTATATTTTGACTTCGTTTATTTTTCTTTTGTTGTTGTTAAGTTCTTATTGGGTACAGTGTGTAGTATACAATTGCATGAGACCCAGGGTCATCTTGAGCATTTGACTTTAATTGGTTTTCTTGTTACCTCTTATTGTCTTTTTTTAAAGTCTGTGTCCATTCAGTTCTTGCTGCCTGATGCCATTCTTCCTGTTGAATTGTCTCACAGCATCCAAAACTTATTTCTAGCATGTTAATTGTATTGAATGTAAGTTGTTCTTTTATTAAGTTCTAATTTGCAGAGAGCTTTACATTTCCTTTTTTTTCTTTCTTTTTCCTTTTTTTGGTCTGTGGTAATTTTTGTGCCCTTAAGTAATTCCTGAAAAGAGTAGGATGGAGGATTATAGTATGGTGGGTTTTGTGTTTTCTGCAGTAGTTGGATGACCCTGGATAGATATGAAACCTGATTATTTTGTTAACAGTTTTCATTAGTGATGTTTAACCCTGTTTAGTAGTTATCTTGATGATGCCAAATAGGCAGGGATTGAAAGGAATTGAATATCCTCCTCTCCTTCACCCTTTTTTTCCTCCTTATTTTGATACTTATCAGAAATGTGCTAAAACTGAGAATGAGATTTGATTTGTAGCAGTACGTTCCCTGCAGTGTCATTTTATGCAGATTTGACTCTATTTATCCATATGCTTCCATATATTTGCAGAGGAGAGTAAAGGCAAATGACTGGGGTGCAGGTCCTCTGGTGCTGTAAATTGTTATTTACACAGGCTCTAATTGAATCCTGACAGGTTGCACCAATGAAGGATTTCCTTTTGGGTTGCTGCAAATAGAAGCTGGTTGCCTCGATTCTGTTAACCTTAATCCTCATTGTCATGTGTTTTATGACAATCATTAGGTTGCTGCTGCTGCTGGCTTTCCAATCCTAGCCCATCGCTTTGCTTTGAGTTGTGGAGTAGCAGCCTAAGATGAGACTAGGTTTGACTGGCTGAGTTAGCCAAAAATAATTTCTCTTTTAAAGCCCATAGACTGTGGAAGTGTGTGCGTGTGCTTGTGTGTGTGTTTACCTGAGCCAAAAGGAACCTTTGAAATTATCATCTTTCTTGGCAATGTCTAATGATCATAAATTGCAGCCCTTGAGGCGGTCCATCCAGTTCCAGCTTGTTTGGGAACAACTTGTAGAGATGCTAAATTGTCCTAGGAGAAGGCTACGGGAAGCACAGGAGTATAGTGCAGACGGTGACGAGTCCCCTACTGTCTCTGTGAAGTGAATATAGGTTGGATCATGTGTAAGTAGGTCTTCAACTTCCAAATAGATCAACATAACCAAGTGTAGGCTTAAAATAAGTCTGGAAGATTTCTAGCTTGAAATGGTTCATACACTGTCTTGGCTGATCCCAGAATCTGGTGAAGCAGCCTGAGCGTGACTGTAAATTGGGAAAGAAGGGAGGCAGTGTTTGAGGACCAGTCTCTAATCCTCTCCTGAGTGTGAAGCTCCTAACGTCAATTCAACTGAAAGTGCCTTTCACCTTTTCTGCCTCAGCCAGAGTACATCTCAATTCCCCTACTCCAACCCCTCCTTTGGTCTCCCCAGTCTGTGCACATGGGAGACCCTACTCTTTTCTCTGCCCATAGGGGTGTCCCTCTCGCAATGCATTCCTCATCTCTGCCCTCCGAGTGTGTGGTTGTACACCTGTTTAGTTCTCTTGCCTGCTCCTCTGCCTGCCCTGCCTTCGTGGCTGGGAGCACTGTCAGTTCCTTTGGTGCAGGTACATATGTGGGCACCCCTTTGCTTCTGGGCCCCTGGGCCTATATATTCCATCCATATCTTGTGGCTGTGAGGAGTTTTTTTTTTTTTTTCCTTGTCCTCACATCTTTGCATGTGTGGGTGTTTTCTATCCTTTCCCTCCCTGTGTGTGTATGGGTGACTTGTTAATGCTGAGTGTTCTTTGAACCTTTTGTGTGTCTGTGCATTTCTGCTTGTACTGCTGCCCCCCCCCCCCCCCCCGGGAGTGTTTGTTGGCAGAGGGACCCTTGCTGGCTCACTAACGTGTGAATAGTTTCTGTGCTTTTCTTCTCATTTCCTCTCTCCCCTTCTCTTTCCCTCTCTCAATGGTGTGTCCAGAAAAGGAAGTCGAGCTCCAGTGTGCATTTGATGGTGAGCACCTCCCGTAAGCTGCCTGCGATTCGTGCGTCCACCATTCTCATGCCATGCACGCTCAGCTTGTGCTCATCACCTTACATAGCATGTTTGGGGAGGGTGGTGAGATGGGGAAATCATGCACTTCAAAGGTCCATGTCCTCACAAAAAGGACTGTGTGATTGGTCAGACTCTGGCTAATCTCAGGTTCCCATTCTCTACAGAAAATTGGCTGCTTAAAATGCAGTTGAGCATTGCCTGCTATTGGTGTCTGATGCGAGGTGAGAAACAAATGAAGAAGGCAGTACCTCTCCTGGGATGGAATGCGTGGTCTCTGCACAACAGATCTGTGCCTTGTCTGGACATGGGGCCTTGTCATTCTGTTGCAGAGGTGCCAAAAGAGGAGCAGGTGCTTTGCCTCGTGTTGGTGCTGTCATCCCTGGAGATAGCCCTGCAGTGTAGAACAAACTGGGAGTCGCTCCAAATATGGCAGAGGCTTCTGATGGGTCTCCAGCGTGCACGGAACAAAGGTGCGGGCACAGCACCACCTGGTGGCGTAAAACTGCCATTAATTTATTTTTGTTAGACTTCTATATTGAAAAAGGTTTGTCGGAGCCCTTATAATCCAAATCTCTGTTCTTTGGATCTCCATTTTGTCTCCTAGCATGATCAAGTGCCCAGTAACTACTCCCTCTTGCAATTTATCCATTCCCCCTTCATATATCCAAATGTGTTTGATATCCCTGGAATATACTGGAAAATGGTGATTATAGTGATTCTTCAAGGGAGAAAAGAAAAAAAACAGCCAGTGCCAAATTGTAGATTGATGCTACTGCCATTTGCTACTGTCCAGGTCACTGTTGTGAAGCCATGGGCAGTAACTAATGTGAAAGTATCCTTTGTATTCTGATTTGCTGGGTTGTGGTTCTTGCCTCCTTCAGATGGGAAGAAGACACACAGTGTCACTAAAGGAGAGAAACTGGCTTCTCTGTTTCTACCTGTTTCTCCCCTTTTCATTGTCACCGTAAATTGTTACAAATAAGCAATAAGAGGTCACAAAGGGCTGCTTAGAAAGTCTCTTAGTGACATGTCACTTCCAGGGCAGCATTCCCTGACTTTTCCAGCCCCAGCTGTGTTAGATGTAAAGGTAGGAGGTTTTGTACAGGTCACCAAGCGCCACGCAGCCTAGCTCAAAGTTACATTTCTTTGCCTACTTTAAGGCAGCTGCAAAACGGAAACTAAATAGATGTCTGTCTCGGGACAGTGAATTTTGAATAAATGACCAGTGAATGCCAGAAGTGTCCAGGTGGCTGGTGTTTGCTTTCCTGTCTTTCAGTGTGTACCCCAGTGCTGTGATCACTGGTTGGTTCTCTCTTGCACCGTCCGTGTTGTCTGTGTTTGTCTGTCTTTCATCTAGCACAGGAAGTACACTCAGTATCTGTGTCAAAATGAATTGTATCACAGATCTTCTGAATGGTCTGACACGGTCCTAGGTAAACTGCCTTCTTTTTAGAGTCAAGACCTTCTGTACTAGAACAAATCAGCTATGTTTCTTGCTCCCTGTTGATGTTAATGGTGAGGTGATGCATGTGTAAAATCCTGTGAGACTCATATACACTCTGAGAGCCCATGTGTAGGATGAAGGGCAGCTGGCTAAATGGTCACAGAGCAGGGGAACAATAAATGGGAGTCAGTAGATCTGGCACCTCCCATATGAGCTGTACATGTGAAGCACATAGGTCAAGTTTCCTGTCTCCTTAGCTTGCCAACATTCCCTTTGCGGTGTTTTAGTACCATGCTGCAAATCTGGGCAGGAGACCTGGAGGCACAGTCCCAGTCAAACTAGAGAGGATTGATGGTTGCAGAAAGACGGGACAGCTCAGGTTCCACTAAGAAGTGTGTATGTTTTGGAAGCTCTCATGGTGCGAAGTTGAGTGAGGGAGATTGTCCTGATGGCAAGTGGGAAGTTGCAGAAAAGCTGACACTGAGGACCTCATCCTGAGGTGCTGAGTTCTAGCAATTTCTTTGGAAGCTGTTTAGCTTGAACCCCTGGGATGAAGTCTTTATTTGCCTTCTACTCCTTTGTTGTTGAGCACACCTTAACTTGAGTCCAGCTTAGAATGTTCAATGTCGTTCTTTCAAGCACCCTGTATCATTCCCTTTCTAGTATACTGCAGTGTAATGATGAGCAGCACATGAATGAAGGAGCCAGATTTAAACCCCCTTGAGACGCAGCTAGTAATTTCTAATAGATTGTAAAAGGCACTTTGGTATGATGGCAGGAGGCAAACAAGATTCTCTATGGCCATGGTCTTGTTTGTGCCATGAAGCAGCTTGGGACTCGTTCTTTTAGGCTGCTTTGCCCCTTTTACCTCTTTGTGTCTGGCACCATCAAGCTAGAAATGCACCCAAAGAGTGTTTGCCCTACTAGAAAGATGAAACGAGGCAGGTAATGAGATGTAAGGCATGTCATATTTGTGAATGAAGATGTTCCTCCTTTCCCAGATTCTTAGGGATGAGCAGGTTTATCCATTCTCTGCCTCTGTGGAATCTCTCTTTCTCTCTCTCTCCTTTTAACCAAAAAAAAAAACCTCTAGCAGGACATGGTGCCTATGAAGAGAAGCTGATACAGGCAGGGATGGATGCAGAATCTCATTTTAAGATCTGCTTCTAGTGGATGTGTTCAAAATGTTCTTTGGACCTTTTCTTGTCATTCCTTGCATTGGTTGCTGGGTGCAGAGGGTTTTGATACATTGGGGGTTGGCCCTTGTTCTACTTTGCCCCAAAAGATAGGCAGACTGCCTATATGTCTTTGAGCTACAGTGAGCCTGATTTTTATCTTATTTTTTGGTGTTGGGTACAAGAAGAATGTTAAGGGGAAAGTGCTTCAGCAGCCAGTCAGGTCTTCTCTGTAAGTCAGATCTAGCCTGTTTTCCAGTGCATGGAGAAGAAGATTTGAATTTATGGATGGGGGAGTGTACATGATGGAAAACAGCTTCAGGGCACCTCCTTCCTAACAAGACCTGAACTTTGGGCATTCTCTTAATTAAGCTGAGACATTTCCGTGCTGCAAGTGTGGAGGGGAGTTGGTAACTCTGCTGCTTTTGTTGTGCTATGGGAGTGAAGAGAACAGCCTTTATCAACAAACTTCATAATCTTCCCCAGCTACAAGAGAAACTCCTTGGGAAAGGCATAAATCCCTTGGAAACATCCCTAAGACTCGCTAACCTACCTGAGCAATCTCCTGGCTTCTTCCTTGGTATTCTCTCCGCACCTGCCCTGAACCTCCTGCACCCTTTCTCGTGCTAGCATTGCACTCCAGAATGCCAGCATCATCCCACACTAGTCTCATCCAGCACACCATGGGATACCATGGGCACAGCTCCAGGTCATCCCAATGTGATGCTGCACAACACATGCCCTATACTGTCACTTATAGTCTGTTAGCACGCATCCTGCCACACATCAGCTCCCTCTTTGCTGCAGTGAAGTTTCTTGGTAGCACCCTTCCTGGAAGCCCCAAGCCTTTTGGGTTGCCTCCTCTTTCTTTCCCTTCCCTTTCCTATAGCTCTAGTAACCCACCCATTTTTGGGCACCGGTGAGTTCACTGTTGCCCCTCTGAAGAGACAGGTGGTATCCAATGACCACGGCAGTATTCCTTCCTCCTCCTTCTCCCCTGTTCTTGCGATTTGTGGGGTGGGGGGCTGAAGAGATGGTGGGGGGTTATGAGAGCAGTACTGTAATGTTTTGCTGTCACTGCTGGACAGCAAGAGAACTAAAACAATCTGTTTTTCTGTCTCAGCCACAGAGCAACAACAAAACCAGTCTAGTAACCCCAGCAAAAGAAACTCCCCCAGTGCAGACGTCCATGGTATCTTCCCTGACCACTATTACTTTTTTTTTTTTCTTGTTTGGTTTAGTTCTGACTCTTATCCCCTCACCCCAGTGCTACCTGTGCTGCTCTGTCTGAGCTTGTGTTTTGGCTTAGTTCTGTCTGTGTTCTTTTGCTTCTGTGGGAGCTGGGGTGCCAACTGATGTAGCAGTTGGATACGGGGACTTCAGATAGCCTGGACTGTCCCTTGTGCCATCCCTGTATAGTTCTGTGTCTCCCATTCAACTGTTCGTTTTTTTTTTTACTTTGGTTTGGAAGAAGAGACTGATGGAGCAAGCGACTCCATCTACTTTCCAACATCCAGGAAAAGGAAAATGGGCTTCAGCACCCCATGACAGTCAGGGTGGGCCAAATAATTGAGTTTCAAATGAGACCCTCTATGGCCCAATTGCTCTTTTTGGCTGTATGGTTAGTCCTTTGCAGCTGATTGATCTGCTGTGCTGTCGTTGTTCAGCAGTGTCGCAGTGCATGCAGTGGACTTCTAGGGAGATCTGTGCTTTGTATGTTTAGCAGTACAGCCCAAATAGGCTCTACCTTGGATAAGCTTGGAAAATCAGGCATCATGTCAAGTAGCAACAGATTGGGTGAGTGTGATTTGCTGCAACACATGGCCTCTGGTGGCCATCTCAATCTTCCTTCAGAAGAGGGATGTCAGTGGATGAGTGATGGTGCAAGATCTGTCATGTCTTCTAACAAAAGGATGAGTACAGGAGCAAGCTAGCACTCTTGGAGGCCTGGTAGCTGCTTTCTGCTCTGTGTCACATTCCAGAGAGTTTTTTTTTCTTGGGACACTTCATAATTTTCAGCTCTTCCTGCACTGGCTTAGCCTTCTGCTGTTTTGATGCTGAGAATGCCTTTTTATTTTTACTATAAATGTCCCATTTTGGAGACTTTGTTCTAGCAAAATGTGCATTTTCTTTTGCAGCCTGGTAGCCTAAGCAGTTTCTCACTGAAAGGCACTGGGACACTCTGGCTTTATTCCCTTTCTTATGGAAATTATGAATGTCCCTCTTAAGAATAAAGTACTTGGCAAACTCAATGGAAATCTGGGAGACAAAGGCCCCAGCCCACTACCAGTCCTCTCCCTAAAAATCTGATTTCTGAGAGAGATGCTGTAGAGGGCTTGTTGCATAGTCAACTGTCTTCTAAGGGTTGGAAATTTATCCTGAGACTGCTGTTTGGTCATAGTTGTAAGGCTTTCAGGCCAAGGGCAGTTCTCAGGGCTCAAACTGGGACCTACAGGGCACCTGGGGGCTTTGTCTCCTCATGAATGTAGCTGTTAATGTTTCTCTCTTAGAAGCCCTCTGAGTAGGGAGTGTGTGTGCGTGTGTGCACGCACGTGTGCAGTTTGGAGGTGTTTTGTGCTTTGTTTCCATGTTGGTTACTTGCTGGAGGGGGAAGACAAATGAGACAGGCATCAGAATCTGAGTTTAACTTTTGCCTTCCTCCTTACCTAGGAGCCTCAAACAACTGTTGTCCACAATGCTACAGATGGCATAAAGGTAAGGGGAGGGACAGCCAGCATTTCCCTCGGAGAAATCCCCACATCTCTACTTGCCAATATGCTCTTTTCTGATTCAAGTCCCTGCCACTCTGGCGACTGTGTCAATGCATGATTCTGAACAGTAACACTTGGATATCCCTGTCCTTTTCCTGACATGATGTGTATGATTCCCTGTGAACTCAGGGTGGAAGATGAGATGTGCCTATCTACGCATGTGCCTTGTCTCTTCAGGATTTGGAGGCCAATTCCTTAGAGTGAACTTGTAGGTCTGGGATCTCATTTACTTGCTCCTTGAAGCTACTACAGATTGTGCCCTATATTATACTGTTCCCAGGGCTTGGCAATGTCTGTTCTCAAATGGCTCCAGCATCATATGCTTGCACTACTTCTTTTGAGAGATTGCTAAGCCTAAAAGATCTTGCTTGATATTTGCCTCAGTTTTCCTTTGCATAATTTCATCCTAATCCTCCTAACCATAAATGCTTTTATCTTGTTCCTTCCCCTGTTTTATGCAACCCCATCCTCTTCTGCAAACAAATGAAACAGTTTTGACTCTATGGGCATTGCTATCTAGTAATGTTCTCTTCTACCACACAGGGGTCCACAGAGAGCTGTAATACCACCACTGAAGATGAGGATCTGAAAGGTAGGTGCACTGATAAGTCCCTCTGACATTGTGAGGGGACAGAGAGGAGATTCTGGAGATCCCACCTACCACAAGTGATCCCAGACTTGTCTGATTCAGTTCCTGAGTTTGCCATGGTTTTCTTTACCATTCCCCTCATGGCGGAGTCCTGGGTAGGCACCTTTCAGGCCACTTTGAGGAAATTGCCAGCCTTCCCTCTGCTGAGTGGGAATTCCTTCCTCACAGATGATGGGATCTCTCCATTCCCAACCACTTTAGTGAACTAGAGTCTCCCTGCTTCTTCCCTTCAGATTTAAAATGTGGCTGCTCCTTCCTTTGCCTCTCCACAGCTTGTGAGCAATTGGACCCTTCCTGTTCTTGCTCCCCCATAAGGGGATTGGAATCTGTTTATTCCTCTCTGGGAATCTTTGTTTTCACTGCTGTTCTACAGATGTCTTTGAATGTCTCTTACCTGTGCCAGCACAAAGGATATCCTCTATTCTCTGTTCTGTTTGTGGATGAAGCTGGAGTTCCAGGACTGTCCCTGCTTGGGGTGCTTTAACAGTGGGAGATGAGATGTTAACAGACAGGGGTGAGATTTTAGAGCTGTCATTGACCACAGCATAAACTCTTCCACCTCTGGTGATGAGCTTTTAAAAGTGCCTTAGATGAAAAAGCGCTGCTTATTCTGGAGTGTCAGATTTATTTGTGCTGCTTGTGCAGCTGTCTAGTATGTTGGGAGGGGCAAATAGGTCAGGAAATTCTGGTCCCCACACCTGCCTCCCCAGTGAGGGATGCCCTCCCTGTGTGCAAATTCTGGAGTATGCCCTTTTGGGTGTGGAAAGAAATAGTAGCTTTTTGATTTGTGGGAAATCATCAAGGCACAGGTACCCCTGCCCTGCTCCCTTCCCCCCCCACCTTCACCTGCACTCAAAGCCCATTCTGTTGAACACTTGGGAAAGCACTAGTGCTTGTCTGGTGACACGGGTGCTGAGGTCATGTCAGGCAGTAGGGACAGTTCTTGATGCTGTTCTAGTACCGTGTCACAAGTTGCTCATTGTACAGTTAGCTACTGTTAACTGTTCTGAAGACTGACTGGGAACAGCATCATGAAGTGGACACACTCTCTATACAAGTGCAGTTTCAAAGGAAACTTGGCTTTATTGCAAGGTAATACTCTATCTTTCTATTTTCCCCAGGTGAGGAATACAAAATTATAGAATCCAGTTGGGAAGGCAGGGAATGAGTCTCTCAGATGATTTTTAGCACACAGTGAAGTATGTAGCCTCTAATCTCTGGATACCTAGATTGGTATGGGAGGGAAGGAGTTTGTGTAGTGACCGTCTGACTATGCCCAGCTCTAGTGATACTGTTAGACCTTTATTTCTAAGATCTTCCCTTTCTGGTTTACCAGGAGTTGCTTTTGCCAGGTTATAATGTTAAGTTTTTCCCTTGAGCCATTGAGTCCCTCCTCTATCCTTTGCCGTATACAGCCTGGATTAGAGGTGCTAGGGTTCTCAGACTCTGGGGAAAGAGAGGGCAGCTGGATCATTTATTTTTCCACCTCTTTGAATAGGAACATTCTAGGGAGGTCTATACTGACATGAAGCAGTATAGAGCTGTTAGGCCCATAGTCAGTCATGCCTTGGTGAACTGTTGTTTCCACTGTAGCAGGGCTGGAAGGGAGCAGCTCCTCACATGCCATTTATGAATCACAGAGGGATTGTGCTGTAGAGCAGTCTGCTTGGCTTTGCCTTGGAGGATGCTCATGCAAGTTTTTGTGCTCAGCATTGTGGTTTCTTTAATGTTCTCCTACTTCTTTTCCCTTTTTTTATTTACTGAACTTGCGTGTTTTGTTTGTTTTTTGTGAGATCATAGAAGGTTAAATAGAGAAGTTGATATTGTTCTGTCCTTTTTTCTGCAGTTGGTGAGCAGTGAAGATCATGTTGGTTGTGCTTCTTCATGATCTAAACCCACACTGAGATTCTAGGAGGACCTCTTCAGCAAGTGGAAGGAG